TCATACAAATTTGACACTCAGAACGGATCGCCACTCCGAGATGAGCCCATCTTCCCTACTTAGAGAGAGCCAACGCCTTGAGCAACTTCATGGGCAGTACGTTCAATCCAGAACGGAACGGGAACAACTGGCCCTAGTCAAACCCATCATAAACGGGATCAATATGAACCATAGTATCGGGTTCCATATCATCGAAACCATCATCATCGATGATGTTATCGTCGACAATATGCTCGAAGATATCATCGTTAGTAATCCCATCGTGGATCATATCCTCGAAAACATCGTCAGAGGCAATCTCATCGTGGCCCATTTCTTCGAAAAAGTCCTCATAGGCAATCTCGTCGGGGCCTATTTCCTCGAAAATGTCATCATAAGCAATCTCATCGGGGCCCATTTCTTCGAAAAAGTCCTCATGGGCAATCTCGTCGGGGCCTATTTCCTCGAAAATGTCATCATAAGCAATCTCATCGGGGCCTATTTCCTCGAAAATGTCATCATAGGCAATCTCATCGGGGCCTATTTCCTCGAAAATGTCATCATGAGCAATCTCATCGGGGCCCATTTCCTCGAAAATGTCATCATAGCCAGCGTAGTCATGGACCATATCCTCAAATACATCACCATAGACCATAGCATGGAAGTTATGCCCAAAAGTCCCACCCGTGATTTTCTGCGGTGGGATGAATCCATGGTTTCGCGTCTTTTCGCCGCTACGACTGAGGTCCATTATCCTCACAACTGTTTCATTCGTCTGCCCGTCTTGCTCTCTCCATAATGTTACTGATACCCGCCAATCACTAGAAGCTGCAACAGAGATCACGCGAGTCGCAAGACCCACACAATCACACAGCGGGACCTCGCCGAGAAAGATCTCATAAACACAGAAACTGCGTCCCCATGTATCTCCGAATATTCCCGTCACAACAGTACCATTCGTCCGTGGAAGGAACCGACAGCAACAGAAGGTCGGAACTCTAGCCTCGAAAACAGACCCATCGTGGCGCCAAATACCGAGGTGGCCCAGACGAGGAACAAACAGCACATGAGTGACTTTATCCTTCATCATCAATACATCCTGTACAACATCGCTGGCCTCGTTCCCACTGAATCCATACGACAAACGGCTACCAATCAGAGGCAGATTCCCGACCAACTTAATGGAAGAGTCAGGGGATACCATATAAAGCTTAGTATCCTTCTCAAGCAGCAGGAAGATACGTCCATCCGCCAACTTCAGCTCCCTTATCGACCTTGGCATAATGATTGACGACAACAACTCGTATCTACCACTGCTGACCAAGCCGTGCCGGCGTAGCACGTTTCGTGACTCGGACATAACGTAGTACACATCTTTGCTGAAAGCCACGGCCATGCTGATGTTACTTTCAGCTTCAAATATAACCTCTCCGGTAGTTGCAAGTGACTGACCTGAAGCCACTCCCGTCCCAAGTTCCATTCGGGCCACCTTCCTTGCATCCTCCTCCCCAACACCAAAGATACCGTCCGTTGGTTCAGAGACGAATGACGAAGGGAACGGCTTGAACTTCTTCGGCAGCCTGAAAACTTCCGTGGCGCATTTGTCTGGAGGATTGATGGTTATAGGAATAATGTGGGCCCATATTAGATCCTCTAAACACTCAGGAAGGTTGCCCATACGGCTCTCTATCAGTTGCATACGCAGAGCCGCCAAATGAGACCTAGAGATACCTTCTACCATTCTAGCAGACACTCAGGCGGCGCAGGACAACTTATAAAAATATAGAACAATTCGCTGGGTAGAGAATGTGAGCTTAGACCCATATAAAAGCACTAAGCAAGCACCGCAGGACTCCTCCAGAACAATAGCAAAAAGAGTAATAACACCATTCACATATACACAGAGACTTCTGCTGAAGAGCATGTGCATAGACACATAGGCTGAGCATATACTTGCAATTCATTTGAGCTTGAGGGAATCCGCTAACGCCCAGCGATATCCCCAGTGGATCAATCCGGAGATGAAATGAAGCCCACGGCTGCGTCCACCCAGTACATCTACATGAGCGGCTAGCACCACCAAAACAATGAATACGTTGTGTTCAACACATACGTTCAGGCTGAACGGTTCAGCTCCGATGCTGTTAGAATTCCAAGACGATCCACTTGACCTACAGAATTTCTTTCCGAAAGCACAGATTACTTCCTACACCCATCATAAGACAACGACGAATTGAACTAGAACCAAACGAGACCAAGGGAGATGAAACTTCCTCCCGTAGTGATTAGATAGGAACAACTGTAATGCCTTTGAATACAACATTAGGAACAGTAATGTAGATGTTATAAACCGGTATCAAACCACTCAGAAGTAACATTCGGCGGCACTCGCACTCAGCGAGTTGGGTTCTTCTTGGCAACCTTTTACGCATGCTTGCGCATAACTCTGCAGTACCTATCGAGACGAAGTGCTCAACAAAGAACTTAACGGATGAAAAACCTCACAGATTCATATTATCGCCTGTAATGAACTGATAGAGCACCTTAGTCCACGAAGTATAACTAGGGATATCATACCTACAGTCAACCACAAATGACAGGGCCCCCGGTTAGTTATGAAGCCCACCATTCGGGAGCGATAGCCTTGACCTTCCATAGGTTGAACCCAGCAACATTGGGGAAGTCATGGTGCTCATTGTGGAGTCTGAGGCCACGCATGGCGACTATCATACACAGACCCACTGATACTTACCCAACATTGTAGACGATGAAGTTGAGAGGGCCGTAGTAGCTATAAGTCTCCTGACCATACACGAATTCGTAATGCTCGGCGATGAAGTGACCAGAAATGGGGTTGAAAATGCTCAAACCCATAAAGAGACCACCAATGAGATAGAAAAAGGATTTCCACCCAAGGCACTTCACAACGAGGATATCAAACGGCAGTTGGACCAGCCAGTTGGTGAGCTCATACAAGCTCATAGGGAGGGGGTGAACAACCATAGGCCTCAGGGCATAGAAGAAGGGTTGGAAGAAGGCCCAGACGAACTTGCCAAACTTGTGTTGGAATAGGTTGGCTTCAAATCGAGTTGGCAGATCAACATCAACCTTGGGAACTCCCTAATACGATGCGTTAAAGGAAACTACACTCAACGGTAATGCTGTTCACCTGGGAGGAATGATGATCAAGATGGTATCTTCTGAAAGTGGCCATCATAGCAACTCCGACAGGGAGATTCAGGAAGAGGCTGAAAAACACAAGTGACTTCATAGCTAAAGCGACTACGAGAAACCTACGAGAAAAGCCTGTTATAAAACCTAGTCTTGAAGAACATATCATGGGACAGCTCGTGGCCCCCCATGACAATAGAGTGCTCCATAAAGCCAGAGATCAACTGAGCAGCAACGATCAACAACATAGAGAAGGTCAGGGGAACCTCTTACCCAAGTGGCCAGGATTACAGAAGGCCACGACCAGTTCCTCACTAGAAAGCACATCGCGAACTGGACGAGGACAGTGAAAGTAGCAAACACGGCTTGACGATTATCAGCACCTTGTACCGCGACGATCTCTGGGTGCCTGAGAGGTAACTATATGAGAACCAAAACGACCCACAAGAACTCTCACGCTTGCACGATTTGCTTTCTTCGGAGTCTGTGAATCTCAGCCGACTTGGACCAATGGAAATCTTTAGGAGCATACTTCCTCTGAATCAGCTTATTCGCGGCGGAGACATCCTTGATAGTCCCAACATGAGAGGGCTCCAATGCATTGAAGTGGACTAGCTTGTTCATCTCCTCAGTGGGAGTATGATCCTCCCCGTCCTCCTCCCCTTCTCGAGCCGACTCCCTAGCAATAGCCCCTTTAGGAAGCTCAACCTTAGTGGTAGTAGTAGCAGACTCCTCAACTGTGACCTTAGCTGGAGCCTTGCCGCCGCCCTCTGTGGAAGTAGTAGTAGTAGTAGTGTCAGTCATGATATATGAAATAAATCGATAATCCTATCAAAACCCCTTACCATTAGAACCCACCAACGAGCCAGGAAAAAAGCAATCACCATATAGATACGCTCAGGGACCTATCGTGACCTAACCCGAACTACCAGTGAATAAGGACCTTGCCGAACTCTATCTGATAACATGCTATCTTCAGTCGACTGTCCACTACAACCTATTGTATTCCCTCCACCTAGCACACCAGAAGTACGTTTGTGAGGATCTTCGACACACTCAGAGATGCGCGACCTCACTGACGGTTTGAGCTCCATCGAGTCTGGGGAGAATATTCTACCAAACTAGACAAATGAGCTCTCAATAGAACCCATCAGCTCAGCGAGTTCTCCGTAGAGTGCCCTCTTGCGTGCCCACCATAGAGGAGCAGCAACAATCCCACCACCAAGAAGATACCCAATCGTTGGTTTGATAATACTAGCGTAAAGATTATGTCACTAAGCTCGACATAACACATAATGATATCCACGAAAACCCCTTTTCCAGGACCCGTCTATACACCAACCAGTGTAGCAGCATCCATATCCTAACAACGACAATCGACGCCCTCCTACTACCCATGAGGCCCATACTACTACTAAGTGGACAGCAGTCTTAGCTTGGTAAAGGCGTTATTACTCTATAACACGATAACGCCAAGACCCAATGACTCTATCGGTCCCCATGAATCCTCCCGTGTGAGCAGTTCGACGCTATCATGTCGTTCCACCTACCGTAACATGCCTTTCTAGAGGACTACCACGGCTGTCTGGCTGGCTGGGACAAAAAGGAGTTTTCTTGCAAATGCACAACAGCGCAACATTCATCGAATTTCCCGGCGTCTCTACTTGACATTTGAGGCGTCCCTATGACTATATAGGAACACTCTCCCCCTCAATGCACATAACTTCCCTATAAGTTGTGAACAGTTGACGAGAGTAAAGATCATATCTTGTATTACACCTATTCGGTAGAGTATTGTTGGTTACACCATGTCGAGGATCTACAACATCGATTTCGACCTGCCAGAGGCCCATGAGAGCATTCCTCTTGATGATACTAAAGATGCTACTGAGGTAACCCATCCTTGAGAGCGATCGACTTTTCCCATCATCGACTTAGTCGTTCCACACTAGCAAGGTCCTGGACCGATCCCTGAGCCTACTCCTTGACATGGAGGACTTCTGGACACCTCTAAGGTGGCAGTCTGCTGCTGAGCCTCCAGTGAAGATGCTCAAGGCAGTCGGCAAGAAACCATCAAGCTCCACAAGGTGAACTCCTCATCTACCTCCGATGACTGTAATGCCTCAGTGTTGACCTCATCGGCCTCTTTGACTCGCCGCCCTCCACACGCCAGGATGAGGACATCGATGATGGGTTCGGACTACCAAACAATAGCCTCCTTGCACGCATGCTCATCAGGACTGACCTATCTACCAAAGAGACTGTCGAGATGTGGTTCCCCAGACATCCCCATATGCATCAAGTACGCCATTGTCTACCCCAGCTTCGGTCGTATCCCCTCCTCCTCAGATGCCCCTGCCTGTCGTCGAGCCCCCGCTAAGTCTGCTGATGTCCATATCATCATCCCATCGAAGGACCCCTCTCCCCCGCCTCGACGAGCCCCTCATCCCCGTACTCTCTCCGGCTCCCACTACTCCTGCCAACCGACCCAACTCTCAGGTTGTGTATCCGTATGACCCTCAGAGCTTCCAAGTATGTTATAATAATGATCTTCGTTTGGAGCTGGGTAAGATCAGTAGAGTCGAGTCGCCTTTTTTTTGGCCTTGTTGTTCTATCAGATATTCTGGAGCCACTCCGCCCTGTTAAAGGTCTCGACTTGAATGACTTCTACAGGCTTATAGAGGATACATCCGTAACGCCCTCGCTGGGGATCGAACCCGCGCCCCTTGATTACGCAAGAGTGTCGGTTCAGACTCCCTCCACATCGTCAATGTGGCACACGGTGAATCCTGTCTATAAGATGATGACTACTCTGAAGCTGCTCATCGAAGGTGTTGCAAATTATATCACCTCGGACGAGGTAGCGTCACCACCCTTTAACTTTTCGAACGCTCTGAACCCTCCCAGATGGACCTCCGTAGAAGCCCTACCATACCAAGGAAAAGAAATGACCCAGCAATCACTTTCGGTGGTCAACTGATATCTCAATAACGATATCACTCAAGTCTATTCCTCAGGTCTCGATGACCCTTGCCTCAGAAGCAGCAGCACTACCAAAAAACGACGAATCGATGACGACCTCTCGCCCTCACCTGTTGTAGCATCAGGTAGCAGTAATCACCTTGTGTGCACTCGTATGGATGATGATTTGGAGGACTTGGAGATTCGTGAGGACGAACGCTATCAAGTAGGCCTGAACTACTGCTGATGATTATGGTCGAATGCTCAATCATAACATCGTCAGGATATTCCCTTGGAGATGAATAGTCAGCAGCCCCACTACTTCGATTATGACGATCCCATGACGGGTACGCACGAGGGTCGTTCCTTCTCGCCCACTGAGGAGCCTACTATCAGGTATTTCTTACATCTCACTGGCTGATGAAATCGAGGAGATGCATCCCTTGGTAAAAACTTCCGCCATTATACAGGCTCCTATTCCCTCTGCCAGATTTCCGAGCTTTCATCTCATTCCCCATCCGAGGGTGGTTGGGACGTCGACGATGTCCTTGAGGACCCTCCCTGCACTACAATCGTCCCTTATCGAGTAATCGTATAGCCCGGCTCGACTTGTTACCTTTTTTCATAGGGACCACCAGTCCCCATTGGCGGCTGGGCTATCGACTACCTCGCCGCTGAGGACTACCTCCCACACATGATGATCAGTGGCACCAGTGAGAGCTACATGTCAACCTCGGGATCCTCTGATGAGTCTTCGACCATCACGATACCGTCACAAGATGAACACTCTACCAGTTCGGACGAGGACGACGAGGACGAGCATGAGAGCATCTCGGACCTCTCCCTTGAATCAGAGGAGTCTATCTACATCGCTGAGTCGACTGATACGGACGATCCGGACGCAAGCCTGGAGTGCATGACGGAGGTCTCTGAGTGTGTCTCGTCCTTCACTGAGGACCCCAGGGTAGGTCGAGGATAAGGGACTGGTTTCTGCTTAGTATGGCTTAGGAACCGCTGAAACTCACACCCATCGCAGGCCGGGTCGAAATAGGAAGTTCATCGCGAACCTCAGGTTGGTTGTGATACTGTAGTCCTGGGTGACTCCACAAGTTGATTTGATTTCAGGAGGCTTCGTGCCGCAACGACATCGTCAGGACTTCATCAGATCCATGGTGGGATGCTTCCTCCATCACAGACATCGAAATGATCAATCATCACCTCAGACGGCGTGGCTATCAGAGATCGCCTTGGAGAGGGAGCGGCAAGCCATGGCCGTTTGTGATGATCGTCGTCATGATGAGCCAGCACCTGCCGAGTCATGCACCCAAATACAGGTCTATAGGGTAACGTGTGAGGGACCATGCCTATGGGTGTTGAAGTTATGTTCCTCAGGGTGGCGGCCAAGTGGAGACCCCTGTGCTGCGGTATCGGGAGGAACTTGGTGATGCTCCAGGCTACTTCGGATGCGCTGACTACAGCAAAGTGGTGTCCGTCTTGTGCCGCAAGGAGCATGTAAGACGACTCGTACACGGTTGGTAAGGGTCTGCGATCAGGTCATCGCCTTACCCTATGTCGACTCTACCACTACCACCAACACTACTTTGGCACTGCTCGACTATACGGATCTCGACGTATACGAGGTATCGTCTAGGAGTCCTCTTCCTGGTGTGGATTCATTTCAGCCTGGGAGGCTGGCCATCCCGTCTCCCCTCGGGTACGGATATGATGAACTGGATATTGAGGATTTGGATTGCGACACTGAGCAGTCAGATTTTGATGATGGTACGTCTCCCTCCGTGGTGTGGACTTAACTTATCTTTCAGAATGGTCTGTGATTGGAGATGATAGATTTTATTCGGAAGTGGACTCTTTCATTTTACTAGGCTGAATGTTGGACTTATAGCACAAGTTCATGTATGGGTCTTCAGACCAGAGGAAATGCCAAGTCATTTCGAATTGTTCATGTCTATTCTTCTCCCATATTCTTCAACTTATTTGCCTATGGATGTTGTCACATGAATTCACCTCTATTGTGTTATAGTAATCGTAAACTCTATTCCAACTGATTAGACGCAACATCATGTTTAGTAACGACCAGAGTAATAACTACCCAACCCTGATGAATGGTATGGGAGTCGCAGTTGTTACCTGAATCTGGTGAGAGGCGGGGTGTTGCACCCACTACCTATCTGGTGATCTATTTATTCAATTTTTAATAATGTCATAATATTAATTATCAATATATATTATTCTGTGAAAGCTACAGAGATGGTATAGCATGACAGATCTCTCCCGACGGGAGAGAGTAGCATCACTATGAACATCGTTCTGGGATTAATGACGTTGCATTATCGACTCTCATGGGATATCAACAGTCAACTTGAACCGAATCACCTCGTCATCAATCAGCGAGAGAGTTGTGATGGAATTTAGCACCCATGGGGGATTAACAAGTTCATCCCCACTCGATAGTCGAGAAACTTGCCAGCCAGCAGTCGATCAACGGGCCCTAGCAGAGTGCCCCATGGCAACTGTTTCTATGTATCGACCTCACTAAGGGTTCATATAGGATTACTGTCATATGATGAGAATGTAGTGACAGACTCCGGCTGTGCTAGCCATGCACTGCTAAGGTCGGAGAACCCACCAACACCACACAAGCCGATCCAATCTGAAGTAATAGTCGGATAACGAACTAAGTCATGAAAGCATCATAAAAAATCATCTCGTCTCTCATAAAATCATCGATTCTCTTCATTCACGTGGAAACAGCCCAGGACCTTGACCCCAGTGATCAACAATAGCGGCACAGTTGAGCGCACCTTCGCCCAGTTCGGTTTATCCTCTTCATGTTCGCCTCCCCTACTGCCCGTCAGAAGCGCCAATGCGTCTTGCGTTTGCTTGTCATCGGGATGGCCATCAGCAATTGCCACGAAGTCAAAACCCGTGCCTGAGGAAGTACTGGAAAGAGCAATGATGGACACTCACTCAACGTGGGGAGATATGCACATGGTCAACTACATGTGGTAATATGAAAATCTCGAGGGAATTTTGCGATTTTCTCGTTGGTTTCTGTACATTTCTACCCGAGTTCGTATGTGAACTCCTACGCTCAGCTGAGTAAAGCGAACATATATCCCAACTCATTGCACTCACTGGCAGGAAATGAATGAAGACTTGACAAATTGACTTGTGATGATCTGAAGCAGTCCAGAGCCCCCATGAGTGAGCCGTGCTTGTGGTTAACATTGAATGCTATCAGAGTACGATCAGATCCAGTAGCCGATGAGTTTGCAAGTGGACGACGCAAAATTCCAAACCTGAATCGACAACAGCAACCTCCGACTAGGGCGGCAAGAGCAGCACGCTGCTCCTGTTGTTGCCTACTGTAGTTTCACTTGGTCTAGCTCAGAATTGGGGATGTTTATCGATTTGAAATCCTTGTCATAATTTTCCATCATTTCATACAGGTAAGGCGTAGGGATGACCGCGACAGCTTTGGGGTCCTCTTCGACGATCTCGATGAGCTGACCACACAAACAGATCACCAAAACCAAGCACGTCAGCCACATACCTTTTCGACAGCTTCAAAATAGGTATCACTCAGTTGGAGTTTTATACCCGGCACCTCTGAAATCTGCGCTCTGCAGTACTTGGAGGTTAACGACGTAGTAATGACCGTAGAAGCCTTGGTCAAAGGCACCGGCCTGCCCGACTTGGGTAGTGATATCACTGTGTAACTGATTATCATCCTCATCTACCCAAAAGTTGATATGAATGATGATGACCTAGGCTGTAAAGTGATCTGGTCGCATACGACGAGGTTGGCTCCACTAGGCCTATGACTGTCGATAAGAGCTCCCAGTGTTTGTATATCCACACCTGTTCATGATGCCAAGCTTCCACTCAGCTCAAGTGCACTCCTACCTGTTATCGAGCTATCCAAGGGCACCACCCCAAAGCTGACCGCGCTACTAGCTACGTCATCAAAAACACACTTCACCGAGCTGAAAGGATGAGTCCCCTCTACCCCCCTCGAGAGCCCCTACTCGTGGACCTTCAATTGAGGCCGCAGGGCATGGCCAGTAGCCTTCGGACTGCTGTTGAGTGGTTGACCCATGGTGTACTCCACCGCAGCTACTCTAGCCCATCCCGTCGTCACTGCTATCACTACTGAATCCAACCTCCTAAGGAGATATGCAACCTGAATAAGTAACGCTATATGCACAATGCTCCTCAGCTATACCCACCTGGACTTCCTTAGTCAAAGGGATCATAAGGTCTCTATAGGCCAATACGACAGTATCAGGGTCAACCTTCAACGAGGCACACTCATCCGCCTCCACACTGCCTGGAGGAATATACGTTCGCTTTGCTCAGCTCAGCTCAGCTCAGCAGTTCCCTCACCAGTTATAGAACTTCACACATGAATTCGAGTAGAAGTGTTCAGGAAAACCAACAAAAAATTCCAAAAAATTTCTCAAAATTTCTCAACTGCCACCGACACATGCAGTTAACTATGTGCATATTTTTCCATACCGCACGGCACCGGATTTCATGAATCAAAAAAACATCATCATATCAGAGATATCGTCGGTATCTTACAACACTCTACGACCATATCTCATCGAGCTGACCTGTCTGGATGTCCCGACCATACGCCCGTGCCTTCTCCCGAACCCTTCGCAAAAGCTTTTCCTCAACTGCTGAATCAGTGAGGAGATCCATAAGCCCATCAGCATCTTGTTGGCGGATGAGTTCCGAATACCTATATTGGGAAACTATACGCCCAGCCTAGCTCCTCCTCCTCCTCGTCGTCGGGCTCCTACAGTTCCCTATGGGCCTGAAACTTCGCCTCAGCCACCATTTTCCCATAGTGTATTCTTCTACTCATCGCCTGCAGGGCGGTAACATCCCTCACCACAGATGCACCTACACACAGGATTGAAATTGGGCGGATCTCCCCTCTCATTAAGGGCTATTAGCGAGAATAGGTCTCACGAGACCATGCCGCCACTTCCAGGTAGCGTTGGAGTCTACGTCTGCTTCCCTCAGCTGAGATTAGGAGTTTCCTCACTAATTATAGGAGTCTATACTCAAATCAGGAGTCAACAGTAACCCCCCTAATTTTTCTCAGCATTTCCATATCATCACCAACATATGTTTTTGACCATGTGCGTTTTTTCCTCCCACACTGCGTCCAGGTATAAAAAAAAGAAATCAAGTTCACAGCAAAAGCGCCCACCTAAAGAAGCCGACGACTTGTCCTCTCCAGCTGGACATACCAGAGGGATAACATTCTTGATATAAAACCTATACAAGAGCAGTAACTATCACAGATAACACTGCCTTAACCTACGATTTCAAACGGGTGTTGGCATTTATGGTATTGGGCACGATGCGCTGAGGAGTGTCGTCAACCTCCGTGAACAGTGGAGCCGGCAACTGAAATATCCGAGGTTCCCGCCCATAAGATACAAAATAGGTTCCTACCAATTTGGGATTAGTAAAGGGCTCCTCGAGCATGTCATATCGTCTGAATCTCGAATGAAGCTTTTCAGTCTCGGTAAGGAAATAGTCCAATTTCGAACAACTGCCGATCTCCTCACATAAGGTGTAGTTACTCAGATTCTGCCCAAAACGAAGCTCAGCCGTTCGAACAGTTCACACGCCTCTTACCTGCTTGTGTTGAGCTCGTTCGATGAGGGCAAAAATGACGGTCTCCTCTTGGCGTATTAGGTCCGAGCGGAGGTCGGCGAGCTGGAGAGGCTCCGGCTGGCGACGATTACACTCAATATTCATCACGACAGAGGTACCTCTGAGACGAAGTGGTGGAGGAGTGGTAACAAACAGCACCGAAATTCGATGCTGTGGACTATAACGCAATATAGGGTCATATAGGACGTTGAGACTGGCGGATCAGGGAGAGGTGTGCAGAGGACAGTCTAGAACCTCCAAGTACTCTTCGAATGCATAGCCCAAGGGAACTTATTCCGGATAGTCTTGGCAA